GGAAACAGAGATCTGGAAAGCAATTTTTACAGCCAGTGTCTGATAAAGGCCTCATTTTCTAAAATATATGGAGAACTGAGTCAAATTTCTAAGATTACATGTCATTCCTCAATTGATAAATGGTCAAAGGATACGAACAGGCAGTTTTCACAAGAAGCAATTAAAGCTATCTATAGTCATATGAAAATATGTTCTAAATCACTATTGATTAGAGAAATGCAAATTAAAACAACTCTGAGGTACCACATCACACCTATCAGATTGGCCAATATGACAAAACAGGAATATGATAAATGTTGGAGAAGATGTGGAAAAATTGGAACACTAATGCATTGTTGGTGGAATTGTGAACTAATGCAACCACTGTGGAGAACAATCTGGAACTATGCTCAAAGGGCTATAAAACTGTGCATACCGTTTTGATCTAGCAATACCACTACTAGGTCCATATCCCAAAGAGATCACATGAATGGGAAAAGGACTCACATGTACAAAAATATTTATAGCAGCTCTTTTTGTGGTGGCAAAGAATCAGAAATTGAGGGGATGCCCATCAGCTGCAGAATGGCTTAACAAATTGTGGTATGTGACTGCAATGGAATACTATCATGCTATAAGAAATGATAAGCAGGCAGACTTCAGAAAAACCTAAAAAGACTTGCATGAACTGATGCTGAGTGAAGTGAGCAGAACCAGGAGAACATTGTACACAGTAACAGCAACAGTGTGCAATGACTAACTTTGATAGACTTAGTTCTTCTCAGCAATTCAAGAATCCAGGACAATTCTAAAAGACTCATGATGGAAAATGTTATCCACATCCAGAGAAAGAACTATGGAATCTGAATGCAGAAAAAAGTATACTATTTACTCTCTTTTTTTTTGTTTCTTATCTCTTGTGGTTCCCATTGGTTCTAATTCCTCTTTACAACATGACTCATGTGAAAATACATTTAATATGAATGCATATCTATAGCATATATCAGATTGCATGCTGTGTTGGGGAGGGGAAAGGGAAAAGAGAGGAAGAAAATTTAGAACTCAACATCTTAGGGAAGTGAACATTGAAAACTAAAAATAAATTAATTAATATTTAAAAAAGAAAAATAATTATAGTTCCCAAGACCAAAAAAATTAATGAGAAGAGTGTCACTGTTGTACATATTTCTGCAATTCTCTTTAATGTCTAGGTTAATAAATAACAGCTGAATTCTCATATCTGTTTCCATTGAGATATGTTATTTTGATTAAAGTTGATAAAAAAAAAACTAACCTCACACAGATAAATAGTTGGAAAAGAAAAGAGTATTTTAATAGGTAAATAAGGTCTTAGTACTATTATGGAAACAATTTTGACTTTGTGGAACCACTTAAAGATTCTTGGAGAACCCCTGAAGTTCACAGACCACACTTTGAGAAATAGTGATCTCAATAATAGTAATTTTTCATAACTTTGGTTTTTCTTATATGCCATATCATCTTGGGACTTGATGAAATCAGCACAAAGTCATCCGCCAACAGGAAAATCAGGAGGACCTCAAGATTTGTATGCAATTCCTCTTCTGACTCTGCACAAAACATCCTCTATGATAGTGGCAAATATCTTTGGCGACATACAACTTCATAGTCTAAGGAACACTGACCGAACAAAGCTAGCACCAGAGTTGAAATTATCAAAGAATCCTGTAACATCTAAACATGGGAATGAGAGACACTTTGCTGGAAGAAAGCCTTGAAGGCTACATTCTGCTCTCCTAAGTCAAACTTTTTTTTATAATAAATAACATCATGAGATCCTCTATTATCAACATCCTTCAAGCAACCATGTGATCATGCAGATGCTGATGAAAAAAAAAATTACTTCGGGGCAGCTAGGTGGCGCAGTAGATAGAGCACTGGCCCTGAAGTCAGGGAGATCTGAGTTCAAATCCAGCCTCAGACCAAACACTTGACACGTACTAGCTATGTGACCTTGGGTAAGTCATTTAACCCCAATTGCCTCACCAAAAAAAAAAATTACTTCAAAGTTTGAAATATTACGTGAGAGTTTTCACCTCACATTTTGATCAAAGATGCCTTTGAAAGAAGTATGGATCACTGTCATAGAGCAGAAGCTGACAAACAATGACTTGAGAGTTAAGAATCATTTTCTACATTTTTAAATATACTACATTTTATTTTACAATGTAAAAATTATTCTTAGCTCATTAGCTATACAACAGGCCTGAAGGCCTGTGGTTTGTCAACCCACTCTTAAAAAGGAGACCTTTCTGTGTAATATTACTGTTCATGATTTTTTGTAAACATCTATATTCTTACTTTCAGATATATCTGGGTAATATTGCTGTTCATGATTTTTTGTAAACATCCACGTTCTTCCTTACTTTCAGATATCACAAAATGAGATTTCTTAGTAACAAAATTCCATGTCCATCACAGATTTTCTCTGTGTATAATCTCAAACAGCTGATTTTTCTGACTTTACTTTCATTATGTGCCAAACAAAGATTCCACAACAACAAATGATAAAAAAAAGATTCAGCAAAGAAATACTAGCAAATTTATGACATTTCTTTTGTCTGTTTCATGATGATGATGATGATGATGATGATGATGATGATGATGACAGCAGCAGCTAACATTTACATAGGACTTTAAGGTTTACAAAGCACTATATTATGTTATGTCATCTGATGAAACCTTAAGGCTTCATCCTTATATGCCCTTAGGATAATCTGATAACTAAGTCTCATGCCAAGGTTTCTAAAGGCCTCCTTTTCTTCTGTGTTCTGTGAGACACAGCTACTTCTCAATCTTTTGCCATACTCCTACTGTTTTCCAAATGAGTTTATATTCTAAACTAGAATTACCCTTGGCTGCCACATCTCTGCTTGGCAAAGAGATCAAGAGTATTTGTAAGCTAAGGCTGCTTCTTGTCACTCCTGTCTCCTCACTATCGTGACTCTTTCACATCATAAGACCACAGAATTTAAGAATTAGATGGAACCATATATCATCCGGTCCAGTGCTTCTTAAACCATGGGTGGGGTCACGAGTGGAAAAAGCTTAAGAAGCTCTGATCTAGTCCAATCCCTACCCAAAAGGTACATTTTAAACCCCAAGTCACTTCCAACAAGTAGTCTTTCATTCTCTTTAGACTCACATTCAAATTTAAGTCTCAGAGTATCAATCTCTGTAACTTACTTTACAATCTAAATAACTTGCATTGATATAATGTTTAACACAGCTTGCTGTCGTTGTTCAATTGATTCAGTCGTGTCTGACTCTTCATGACCCCATGGACCGTGGTGTGTCCATGGAGTTTACTTGGCAAAGACACTGAAATGGTTTGCCATTTCCTCCTCCAGTGGATTAAGGCAAACAGAGGTTAAGTGACTTGCCCAGAGTCACACAGCTAGTGAGTGTCTGAGGCCAGATTTGAATTCAGTTATTTCTGACTCTATCCACTAAGTTGCCTCCTAACTTAGCTTAGGATCCCTATAGTTCTTCAAAGAATTCCTTTATATCTTCATCTTTGTAAGAGGCTTTGGCAAATACAACCTAGGTGTCTTCATAATGAACTTTTTGCTTATACTTACTGGGACTACACTGCAAAGCAACATTTGAGAACATATTGAAACTGAATCTGCCAACTTCTTTATTTGCTTCTCCAAACAGAAGCTATGGCACTAATACACAGTTAGTAGAGCTCTGAATTGACCCAATTACTCTGCAACGCACTGTGGAATTACGTGTATCTTTCGATTCAGAAATCCTACTTCTGAGCACAGAGCCCAAGAAGCTGAAAGGGAGAAAAAGTCCCATATACAACCAAATACTCAAAGTAGCACTTCTGTGGTAACAAAATTCAGGAAACAAAGTAGGTCATCAGACGGTCACCACATAAGGGAAATGATCAACAAATTGTTGCACATGAATATAATAGAATACTGCTGTACCATAAGAAACAATGAATATAAAGAATTCAGATGAACAGAGAAAGAAATAGAAACTGATTGAGAGTAAAGTAAGTGGTACCAAGAAAAAAAACAGGCACAACCAACTACAACAACATAAACAAAAAGAAAAAAGAAGAAATTACACCAAAAACTGTACAAGTGTGATAAGCAAACTTGGCCACAGAGAAGAGTTTGAAATGTGTACTTCCATTCCCTTTCTAGAGACGGGAGGGACTACAGTCATATCTATATATCACATATACTTGTCAAACATGCTTGACGTACTGGCTGGCTTGATTTGGCTAAACTGCCTTTTTTCCTCTTTTTTTTTTTTTCTTAATCTGTTGCAAAGGTCAGGTTGCTGGTCAGGGAAGAAGGTAGGCATAAATTTAGAAATGATGATATAAAAATAAAAAATATCATAAAAACAGTATTTTGGAAAAAACAACAAAGAGAACCTATGAGCAATCCTTCCATTTACCTGGAACTTCCTTACATCTTCTCATTTCTTGTATACCATGAGGATCAACACTGATACAGCTTAGTTCCTCTCCAGCAATGAATAAATCAACTTATTATGTCATTCTAAAAGTATTTTATACTTAGTATTCCAACAGATATATTAAGGTTTACAAATATTCTAAAAACTATTACTCTTAGCACTCTATTCTCCTTTTGTTGTTACTCTGGCAACTCTCAATGCAGAAGGCAATGGGGCAAAACTCAGAATTGAGGGCCACTTCATAATTTGTTTTGTTTAATGTGTTACTATGACCAAAGAATTCAAAATCTCACTGGCCAACCAAATGGGAATGGGTCTCTTGAAAAACAGCCTGGCTAGGCCCTGACAGAGGATTATAAGATCATATATTTAGAGCAGGAAAGGACCTCAGAGGTCATCTAGTTCAACCTTTTCATCTTACAAATGGAGAACCTGAGGTCCCAAGAAATTAAGCAACTTGCCCCGGGTCTAAAAAAGATAAATAAAAGAGCTACAACAAGCAAATGAAACAAAACAAAAACATCAACAACAGGATTTACCTCTGTCTGTAAGATGGCAGCTCTCTGCTCCTTCGCAGTCAACGATTCCTTTAGCACTTCGATGTGTTGCTTACTATCTGAGAACTGATTTGTAAGCGTTTCTAGCTTTGTCTGTAGGGCTAAGAGTTCTGTGTCCTTTCGGGACAGTTCCTGTTTCACCTGACCAATCTGGAGAAGAAAATGAAATTCAGTGAAGAAGAAAGGAAAAACATCACCATTTCTAATCTGAATATTTTACAAACCACAAGTTGGAAAGTTAAACATAATTTTTCTTAATAATCTGCAATATCAATGAGAATGAAAATATGTTCTGCGAAATCATTCTGTAAACAAAAATAACTTACATTTATGTAAGTTTTATACTTTACAAATCACTTTCTTCACAAAAAAACCTATAAGATAGGTAGGATGAACATTATCACCCCCCATTTTGCATATGAGGAAACTGAAGATCATAGAGATTAAGTAATGTGCAGAGAGTCAAACAACTAATAAGCTGTAAAACAGAGATTCAAACTCAGATCTTCTGTGTCCAAGCCAATGCTCTTTCCATAATAGCACCTGCATTTCCTCTTTTGAAATCCATTAAAAGAATAGAAAAAAACTAACCAATCAAGTCTGAGTTTTCTTATTTCTATCTACTTGACAGGAAAAGGAGTATGAAAGGAATAAAAAAGAAATCAGAACTAATTATAAGATATGAGAGTTATCAACAGACATCATACTTCCACCTTTCTCTTTTACAAATCAGGGTGACTCGTTCCCCAAAAAGTGAAACAAAGGCTTATAAAAGATGCAGCAAAGAGGAAAAATCAAGCAGCTCTTTCACTCCCAAGGAGTATTTCAAATTATTTTTTAAAATACATTTAATTTTGTTTTACTTTTATAAGCCACTTTTAAATGGAGCTGACTTAGGTACTTAAACTGAAAGTATAATAAGATGTTTAAATAGCACCTACAATTTTTTTTTTTAGTTAGGCAGACTTCTTGTAAAGAAATGGAAAAAAAAGTTATAACAAAGTATAAAGTGTGGTTCCTCAATAATTCATATTTACAATTTGAGATTTATATCTCTCGTAGAGTAAAATTAAATCAAGCCAAAAGAGTGTGCACCTTATTTCTTCCTCTGAATTTCCATTATTAAATTAAGCAATTACCTCGTCTCTCCAATCCCATCAGCTTATGTACTTAAAATATAAAGCCAGATAGAAATCACATGTGCTTTCTTTTTTCCTTTTTGGTAAGGCAATCGAGGTTAAGTGATTTGCCTAGGGCCACATAGCTAGTAAGTTTCAAGTGTCTGAGGCCACATTTGAACTCAGGTCCTTCTGGGCTAGAGCTCTATCCACTGCACCACCTAGCTGACCCTCATGTATGCTTTTGAATTTGAATACAATGCTTACTACCCTCTCCTTTGCATGAAAACAAGACCAAAAAAATTTATAACTAATATTTTTAAGTGTACTTTGCTTTAATAAGTGAAACAGGGGCAGCTGGGTGGCACAGTGGATAGAGCACCAGCCCTGAAGTCAGCAGTACCTGAGTTCAAATTCGACCTCAGACCAAACACTTGACACTTACTAGCTGTATGACCCTGGGCAAGTCACTTAACCCCAATTGCCTAAAAATAAAAAAATTAAAAATTAAAATTAAAAAATAAGTGAAATAAACATTAAAGAAAAGTCCAAGAATGTTTTAATGCAACTACCTCTCTTCAGTAGAAAGTTTTTAAGTGCATTTTATTTCCATAATAGCAATGGTAACTGGTAACTGGTAAGGAAAGACAAATGAGAATAGTTTTCTTGTTTAAGGCAGGAACCATATCATGTTCTAGGGGAGGGGAACCTGCAACCTCGAGGCCACATGTGGCCACCGAGGTCCTTGGGTGCAGCCCTTTGACCAAGTTTTACAGAACAAATACTTTTATTTGGGGGATTTGTTCTGTGATGTTTGGATTCAGTCAAAGGGTGGCACTTGAGGACCTAGAGGGCCACATGTGGCCTCAAGGCCACAGGTTCCCCACCCCACTCTAGGTTTTTCCATTAATTACATCTTCCTATTGAAAGAAAGGAAAAAAGAAACAGAGATACAGTGACAGAAGCAGACTCAATAGAACCATAATCAACTCTCTGTATCATTTGAATGATTACATAAATTTTAAATATCATTAATGGTCCTTTTTAAAATAAGAGAAAAAAGAAAGCAAAAAGAAAAAACACAACGCTACAAACAAAAATTTTTTTATCAACTTTCTTCTCAAGACAATATATGGTTTTCTTATACATCAGGTTAAGTCTGAAAATTAGACTTCTCTGTCCTGCAATACCTTTTTTTGCTAATATTTCTGCTAATCTGCTAATAAGATTTGCTAATCTGTTACCAAAAAAATGACCCATATCTTATCTGCTTAAGCCTTTTCTCCCTAACATTTTAACTTAGGTAGACAATGTCAAATAACAGCTTTTGTGAACAGAATCACGGTCTGTTTCAAAAGTGCAATGGACATCCCCAAGTTTTCCTTTATTTACTATGTAATTCAAGGCAAGCTGATTGATCTTTTTATCTCTTGTTCTAGGTAAAATAATACCTGCTAAGTAAAATCTTACAGGAGTTTTATTAACTAATGACCACAAAGCAAGGAATATATTTTGCTTGATAATTTCAAATATCTATCATCTTTACCATGTGATAGGGACTGAAACTTTTGAAAGTGTGAGATACCCATGCTTTTGTGTCCAAGACAAGGGAAGTCCCTATTGTTCAACACTATTTTATATACAAGAAAATGTCAGAAGAAAAGAGATTGACAACACCCTCAAGAGAATCTCACAAAAAACATCAAATCACCAGGAACAGGCTTCCTGAGCATGTTTTTAGCTGGTTGAACAGACACTGGTTAAAAAGCAAAGGAGGCCGGTTAGTGCTAATATTTGGCACAGCTGCTGACCACAAGAGAAATGAAGCATGAGCCACCCAGAAAGCCCAGAGCTAGCAGAGTCCCACTGAGGAAGGGGTCACTGCACACACAGAAATGAATCTTACGGCAAAGACCTCAGCCTGGAGACCAGCCGCTCTCTTTTTCAGCTCTTCCCCTTGGGTCTCTTTCGCACTTAGCTCTTCCTTCAGTTGCTCTACCTGTCACGACATTGTTATTCTTTTTTCACTTCTGTGTCAGTTTACGTCTTCTAATTATCTGCTTCAAGGCCAGGGCAGGAATTGAAATTAAGAAAAAGTTATAAAGAAAAAATAAAAAAATAAAAACACTCAAGGCTGTTCTACTCACTAGTATTTTTAAAGGATCTTAGCATAGGTTGGAAAGGATTTATCAAAAAATGATGTGCAATTACAGTGATTATTCACCAATACATAAATAATTGCAGCTAGCTTTCCTTCCAAACAAGATCATAAAAACAAAACTATTAAAAAACTAGAAACTATGATGTTTAAATTCAAAAATTCAAATGGAAGTGGCTGAAGGCAAATTTATAAGCAATATAAAATGAGGGAGGGTAGGGAATAAGCATTTATTAACTACCTACTGTGTGCCAGCTACTGTGCTAAGTACTTGTACAAATATTATCTTATTTGATGTACAATGTAATATAAATTATAATTATATATTTAAAAGCTAGTTATGAGTGACATAGATAAGCTAGGGGTAACAAGAAAGAGCCAAGACAATATAAATGTCACAAGGGAAAAAGTTTATTAGGAAAAAACTTAAATACAGGGAGCTGGGGGAGAGGGGTTGGAATGAGGAATAGGATATTAACTAAAAACAGGATTTGGGAAAACTGAACTATGACACTCACCAGAAAGAGTCCTTGGATCTAATGACCTTTTTTATATTTACACAGAGTAATAGGGAAATTATTTTATATTAGTGAGGAGCCTCCCTAGAATTAAGAAAAATTAGAAATGGGGACCTGTTATAATGGAATAATCAGTCACTAGAAAGAAAAAATTCTGCTTTCCAATTGCTTTGTGTCATTAATTCATTCCCAAATATTTAAAATGCCAACTAGCTAGTTATTCTAATTGGTCTTCCTGGTATTTAGATCAATCAAAGCTGAATGTTTGGGGGCCCTAAGCAAGAATAAAAGCAACTATTTTATATACAAGAAAATGTCAAAAGAAAAGAGATTTGCCTGAATTGAATGAAAACTGGTATGCCTTGTTACTACCTATTTTGCTATATAATGCTCTAATAACTAGGTAGAATGGAGATGAGGGACAGAAGGGGATAAATTCCCCATTTACCTTTCTCAAGAGGTATGTAGTTTTCCTTAATAAAAACATATAAAAAAGCACAAGTCAATTCATTTTACTTAACCTAGTTTAGAAAAATTACTTCAGTCTATTGAGCATTGTAATAATTCACAAGAGAAGTAAAACATTATATTGTCTTGCATACTGAGGAAAGCATAGCTAGATAGGTTTCTAAGTCAGCCCAAAACTACTGAAAAATGAAAAATGTTGAATTTTTTAAATGTACACTAAGCCACATGAGACTAACTTTATTTGAAATCACATTAATAATTTGTATCCATTCAGCAATTCAGTCCTCAATACTCAGTTTCAAAGTCTGAAATTATAATATTTGTGCTTTTCTTAAGCAACATAAAAATAAGGTACAAAACTGCTCCCTTTAATCAGTAAGAAAGACATCTTATGTTCTCCCTAATACATTAAACTGTTTTGGAGGACTGAAGGCTGACATCCCATTACCTTATTTTTCATGAATTTGGAATGGCTGCGATACACCTCCATTTGTTTCATTTCTTCCTCCCGTTCTTCTGTGCTCAAAGCTCCATTTGATTTCAGCATCTGGATTTCCTCCTCCAAATCTCGGAGCCCACGCTCCATGGAGGAAATTTTTGAGTCCTGACAGGAGTAGAACAGTCATGTGGTCAAAATAGTTCAAATTAGGAATCCTCTAAGTAGATTAACAAGTAGAATTCATTCAATCATGTTTGAATACAACAAAAACTCTGTGCAGATTTCCATGCCAGGTGCTCAGAGGGAAACAAGCAGTGGATGATGATGAGGGCAGTCAGAACTGAAATTTATATAGCAATTTAAGGTTCATAAAATGCTCTAATATATGCTATTTGAGCCTTACAATAACCTTGTGAGTTAAGTACTATAGGTATTATTGTCTTCATTTTACAGAGGAAACTACCATAGGTCAGAGAGTTTAAGTAATTTGATCTTATTCATGCAATTAGTGTAACAAGACAGGATTTAAACCCAGGTCTCTTGTGAATAATTGTAGAGGTCTTTCCACTGCACCATACTTTCTCAAAAAAAAGACATGGTCACTAAAACTAAACTCAGACACTGGGGATAAAAAAGACAAAACTGAAACTTCCTGTATTCAAGGAACCTACATGCCAACCTACATCCAAAGGAGATACACGAGTCCATATATGAATCTACACAAAATAAATACAAAGACATTTAGAGCCAAAGAGGGTTGGGTAGTTGGGATTTGGAAGGTTAAGACAGACTTCATTTAGAGAAGTGTCATATGGAAGAAAACTATGGATTTTAAGAGGTAAAGGTAAAGAGGCAAGGAGGAAAGTCTGTGAAAAGACAGAGAAAGTAGAGATGGAGTGTCAAATACAAGGAACAGTAAGAAGGTAATTTTTGCCTTCAAGGACTAAGTGTGTAAAGGAAAATGTCAAATAAGGTAATAAAGGTTGGTACCGGATTGTAAAGAGCTACTGTAAATACCAAACAGAAAAGTTTGTATTTGGTCCTAGAGGTAAAAGAGAGCCCCTAGAATGTTGACTAAGCGAAAGACACGGTGACTTATGAAAATGACTTGGTCACTTTAAGAAAAGCAATTTACTTAATGGATTGGAGTCAACAAAATCATCAAAGGGATATTTTGCAATAAAACAAAATTCATTTGGGAAAAATGAAAGGTCAAGAGTATCAAGGGATAAGGTTCAAAAAAATACAAGTAAGTAGGGATTGGCACACTTCATAAAAAATAATAACGTTCAAAACTATGGTACTAGGTTGGTTTTTTTTTAAAGGAAGATCAATGGAATGGTTTCATTTTCTCGTTCTGCTTTCTTACCTCTGCATCAGTTCATAAATGTCCACTTCACTAAAATGTCCCATATTCATCACTGCTTATTGTGTAAATTCATCACTTACATACCATAATTTCAAATATAAAAGAAATGTGGCTTAGAAAATCTGAGGATACAAGGGATTGTGTTGCAAATACAACTAGGTTACAAAGAGAATTGTAGAATGAAGAGTCTAAGGTGGTAAACAAAGTTGGAGTGGGACTAAAGAGGAGATGGGATAATTAGAACCGGGATAAGGACTGCCTAAAAAATAGGGATAGGGGACAGGAACTGGATCTATAATTTCACTAGTACTGGCAATTCCCAGGTGAGCAATCTCCTTCCATCAAAGCAAGTGCTGCCTTCTCTGAGACTTACAGTTTTTAAAGAGCTGCCTATGGCAATGGAGAGATGAAGTGATATGACCAAAGGCAGATCTTGAGCCCAGGTCTTTCTGGTTCAGAGGTCAGCTTTCTATCCACTATACTATGCCACCTCTCACTTAACAAACGATAACTATTTAATAAATGTTATTTTAATTGAATTGAATCTGTACTCCTCCAAAAAGGGTAGTTGATTGAACTACATTTTTCATAATGTATCTTAACCTTCACTTACAAGAAAACCTTTCCCTTTCCTCTTGCTCAGTCAATAACCACTTATTAAGTAATCACATATATATGGCCAACACAGAAAACTGGAACCTAATCATAAAGACCTGAGTTCAAATCCAGCCTCAGACACTTACTAGCTGAGTGACACTGGGTAAATCACTTAACTGTTAGCTGCCTCAGTTTCTTCATCTGTCCAATGGGTAATAGTACCTTCCTCCCATGGTTGTTGTAAGGATAAAATGAGAATATTTATAAAGCACCTTGCATACCTTAAAGGACAATATATATGTTTAGGTATTAAGGCTCAAGATTGTAATACGCTATTTAAAAAGATTGTGAATCAGTGCATTACCTACTATATCTAAAGAATCATAACAGTAAACTCCCAAGATCACTCCAATTAAAATTAAATTTTCAAAGTCTTTGCTGAAAAATACTATGTGGTAACGAGAGTGCCATTATGATATACTGCTCACACTATGATTTTGACCTCTATTATCTAAAACTATTCAGTGAAGAGCCAACTTCTGGTTCATAAACAGCAAGTTGCTTCTTTCGACAAACTAAATAAAACTCTCCCCATTAACCCTCCCCAGAAAAGTCCTTTTAAGTCACTATTAGTTTCTCAGAACATAAATCATTATCACTCAAAACTTGAGTCTTGGTAGATAAATTATTTTAGAATAAATGAATGTCGAATATGGATCCTACTGTGGTGCTGGCATGATTAGTGCCAACAATAGTAAGGACCAACATGATAGTGAAGGAGACAACTCTTCTCAATCATAATTCTTCTCAGTTGTCATTAATTCTCAACCCCCAGAGCCTTCAAAAAGAATTATGCTCCATATGAAAGCAATTACAGCTGAATTCACAGAATAGAAAAAAGAGAAGCAAAGTAAAATCCTTATGAATTAACACTGAAGAGTGCCAATCCTTAAAGCAGCATCCACACCCCACTCCATTCCCGAATCATCCTCCAATGCACACGGCAGGAAATTACAAACTGACCAAGTGACTTGTACACCAGGCCATATTCAGATGCCATCCTGCTACAGAGATATTTCTAGCATATCCCACAATGTGCCATCCCCCAGCCCAAAACAAGCAACAGACACAGATTTTGTGCAGTCACATAGGGGATGAAAGGGTGGGGAGGGGGAATCATACTGCATTCTGCCTAGGACAGCCTTTAAGTTAAGACCCTTCCCCCCAGGTTGGAGAGCATCCAGTGTAAAACACTGAAGAAAGCAGTCACAACTAACGTAGACTGAAGTGAATAGAACCCGAAAAACTACGTATACACAACACTACTAAGACAACTTAGAAAGACTTAAGAATTCTGATCGATACAATGACCAATCATGATTCCAAAGGACCAGTGGTGAAGCATGCTACCTCCCTTCTTGACAGAAAAGGGATGAATTCATTCATGGTGCGGAATAAGACATTATTGGCTACCATGGGAATTTATTTTACTTGATTATGCATACTTGTTAAAAGAGTTTTGTTTTTCATTTTTTCCAAAAGGGGAGGTGGGAGAGAAATAAAATATTTTAATTAATTGTAAAAATTTAATTTTTTTTTAAAGCAGCAGCCATTTCAAAGAAGTCATGGAGAACAGCCAAGAGAAGAAGTGCAAAAGGGCCAGAGTGAATAACTAAACTGGCCTGAAGGAAATGGGATTAAAACCCATAGAGGAGTCACATGTTTCTAGATTGAATAGTATTGTGTTACTTAGGACAGGAACAAAGACATAAAAATACTGAATTCCTTAAAGTACAAAGGCTGAGGCAGTTCTGCAGCCTACTCCTGAAAGTACAACCATTAGCAAAGGGAAAAGTGTCAGAAAGTGACTGACATGGGACAATTAAAAAAAAAAACAACGCTAAAACAAAAGATTTGGAGAGGAAAAAAATTCAATAAAAATCTGAAACATAAGAAAACAAATCAACAGAAAGGATCCTAAAACTAGAAAAATGTGTAGTAAACCCCCCAGGAGATTACATCACTCCCTTAACAAGCAACAAAGGAAAGTAAAACAAGGTCTAAAGAAACAAGGGGATTCTAAGGAATCTTAGCAGAGCGTGGAACAAGATATTCCCGAATGGTTAAAAAGAAAAATGGAAGTCAAAAGAGAAGAAATGGGGAATACGTTAAGACTTTATAGCTCTCAATGCAGAGATAAAAAACCCAATTTGCACATCAGGAAAAAAAATAGAATCCACAGTAGAGTTTCTCCAAAGAAAGATTAATATATTTCTAACATTAAAATTTTGTGATCAGGCAGAAGGGAAGCAAAAAGCAACAATGTTAAAGGAGCATACCCAAGCCAAAGCTACCGACTTCAAAAACAAGATATTCAAAGAAAGCTTAAGCATCAGATACCAGAAAACAAGACAAATTAAAAAATTAAACAACACAACACCATGATGCACGATATAATGCAAAAAAACCTGCCCAGATCTGAATACAGAAAAGAGAGGAGCACAAATTGACTCCAAAAACAGAAACAGAACCAGAAGAAAAAAAAATTTTATATTTCAAACTCCAAAACACCAAAAGTTAAACGCCACAATACCCTAACAAATAATAAATTTTGCAAACAGCTGGGGAAAATGGAAATTACTAATGAAATTATATATAATTTAAAAACTGACCAATATTTAAAGGCTTTTTTTTTTTTAAAGAAAGGCAAAGTGGAATTAAGGAGCTAAAAAAAAAAAGGAAACATGGATCACTAATAGATTAAAATGTAAGCAGAATTTAAAGAAAGAGAAGTCAATGTAGAAGGGCAGAACTGAAGAACCAGAGACTAAATCTAACACTACAATAGAGCTACAGGCAAATCAAGGTATTTTGAACAAAACTACAGAGCAGGTAAATAATAATAATTATTATTATATAATAAATGGGAAGAGGGGAGGCAAAGGAATGACGGGAATGGGTGCATGTTACACTGGTGATGAACAAAACTACAGAGCAGGTAAATAATAATAATAATTATTCTATAATAAACAGGAAGAGGGGAGGCAAAGGAATGAAGGGAATGGGTGCATGTTACACTGGTGATGAACAAAGGGATGATGACCCCTACAGTCTCTCAGAAAAAAGAGGGACTGCAGAAGAATATTAACAATAACGGTCTGGAAGTGGATAACTGAAAGGGAAGGAGTCGGGGGGGGAAAGGTGGGACACTAAAGAGAACTCCCAAAAGGAAAGAGCAAAAATGATGGTTCTAACAGAAAGTCTCAATTCAGGAAGTAAAAATGGAAGAATGAGTAAACAAGGGAGGGGGAGGAGGAAAGTAGTGGGAATAGAAACTTTCCAATTACTTTATCTCTCTCGCTTTGCCTGTAGGGGAGGCAATGGGAACTGGCGAGTTTTCCCATTCTCTGGGGAAAGCAGCAAAACCTGGCCGTGAATTTGTAAGAGATACCTAAGTGACTGATGCAAGTTTGTAAGGCCATATTCGAAATTTCCTTGAATGAGGCCTCTCCTGAGCATGCCAAAGGCCAAAGGGCTGAAGCATAGAAGCTAGGCCCCTCCTCAGGCTCTTAACTTGTCCCCAGAGAAAGAATGAGGAAGCTTTAATTTTCCTCCTTGCCTTGGCTCTCTACTGGGCTACAGACTCAGGCAATGTGTGGCTGCTTAGCCCCTCCATGGGTCCTTAATTTGCTCCAAAGGGACACAGCAGTAGCTTGGAGGCTCTAGTGGTCAGACTGTGTTTTTCCCTTGGCTTGCCCCAAGAAACCCAAAGGGTACTAAGTTGATCATACTTTGGACAGTATGGACACTGCAGGAGCAGAGAGCACACATGAGCAGAAGACCCACAGAAGAGGTTCCATAACAGCACACCTGTTAACAAATCCTATAGGGTATTTCCAAATCATAGTTTTGAGCCTTCAACCACACACACACTTTGTTTTACACTAAAAAAAGTTCTTTTTCTGGGACTCTAACTGTCCTGAGAGACCCTGGCTCCACGGAGCCCCACCTCTACCAAAAGAACCGGTGGTTCAATATCTGTACTGAGAAAGTGTTGTGCTCTAATAGTCAATCATTTACTACCATCAACCTGTGGGGGATGGGGAAAAAGTTAAAGCTGAGGCCAACAAAACCATTTTTTGAAGATTTAAAAAAAAAAAAAACATATTCAATTCTACTCCCATTTGGCTCCCCTCCATTAATTAGGCATCTGAGACATTTCTACTAAGTTAAAGTATATCATTGATTAGGAAATCTATTCCCCAAGGATAGCACTAATTAACCAATTATTTTAAAAAAACATTTTAAGCTAAAAGATTAAAATATAGCAGTATTCAAATATTTAAGAAAAAACTAATATACCAATTATGACACATTTTTCCCAAATCAAATCAAACAATATGGATTAGGAGGGTACACTGCGGATAGTGTTCTAAGCTTTGGCTCTGCCCTTTTCCAGAATTTGAAGGTTACATGCAATTGGTGTGATGCTGCAAAATGAACACTGGATTTGGAGTCAGGTGACCTATGTTCAAATTCTGGCTCTTTTGGTGATGTACAAATCACTTAAGTCCTCCATGGCTCAGGTTTCTCTTCTATAAAATCAGAGAGTTGGAATACATTATTTCATCATTTTTTCTACCATGAAATATATATATATATGTATGTATATATATATATAGGATCCTATGAATTAACTTAGGATACAAAACAAATACATGAATATTCTAATACATTCATTTAAATCAAATGAGATAGTATATAAAAAGTGCTTTGTAAAGTCTGAAATGCTATATAAATACTGGTTATTATTAAAATTGGTAAATGCTTGTATAACATTTTTAACTGAGTTACCACCTATATCTGAAAGTAACAAAATTGCATCTATTTTAAAATATTCTATAAGTCAATCTTTTTAACAAGTATTAATAACTTCCCCCTCAATTATTGCAATTTTGTAAGATTTTACTTTTTTTTCTTTGTTTGTTTGTTTTTTGTTTTTTTTGGTGAGGCAATTAGGGTTAAGTGACTAGGGTCACATAGCTAGTAAGTGTCAAGTGTCTGGTCTGAGACCGGATTTGAACTCAGCTCCTCCTGACTCCAGGGCCAGTGTTCTATCTACTGCGCCACCTACCTGCCCCAAGATTTTATTTTTTATCATTTCTAAAACATACAGCAAGTGGTCTCTATGAACTGAAAACCTGAACTTTTTAAGGTTCTCACCTTCATTTCAATAACAGTTTGCAGAGCTTTTGTTTTAGCAGAATCAGGAGCATTCTCAAATCTCCGATGCATCTCCTAAATAAGAGAAAAAAAATGAGTAAGCCCAAGTGAAATTTGCAACATCCTCTATTTCACAGGAAATAAGTAGAATTCTTCTACTCCACCTTTAGGGAAAAAAATGATTATACATGACTCAACCCTCTGGTAATTTTTAACCTCTAACTTTCCACAATGTATCTCCAATCCTTGCTGCTCCAGCTAATTTATTTATTTAAGCACAGAAGGCTACTGTCTCTAAGCAACAGCTTGTCAAAAATTAGTCAAAGTGGCTACCCCAATGAATGTAATGGAATACTATTATGCTGCAAGAAAAGATGATAGAAAGGATAATGGAGCAGTTTCAGAGAAATCTGGGAAGATTTGCATAGACTGATGTACATTAAATGAGCTGAACAAAAAAACAATTCATACAAGAACATTATAAAGACAAACAGAAAGACTTAAGAACTTTGATTAACACAATAACCAATCATAATTCCAGAAGACTCAAGATGAAACATACTAAACCACCTCCTGATAGAGGTATGGAACTTGATGCAGATCAAGACACATTTTCTGGACACAGAAAATATGGAAATGTGTTTTGCTTGACTATACAAATTTGTTACAGGTGTTTTCTTTCACTAGGGCAGGCAGAATTTTATTAACTAGAAAAAAAATTTTTAATGCCTACCTCAACTGAAATGAGACTGTGCTCCCAGACCACTGTCTTTTTTAAGCTGTATGACTTTCCCACATTTGCTTCTCATAACTTGACTTTGCAACCAAAAAGAAACAAAAAAGCCCTGAATAGCAATATAACCAAAAGAAAAGGGTGTTTAGAAATATTTTCTTTTTTGTAAAGGAGAAACAATGAAACAATCACATTTCTATTTTGTAGTTATTGAAAGGATCTGTATTGATAACCCATTCCATAGCAACCATACCCCTAAAAATGCTTATTTTATGTAAACGAGATACCTGCTTATTTACAATGTAAATAGAAGAATCTGAAGTGCTAAGAAATGTCATGGGTAAGTCAATTTTTGGAAAAGGTCAGAAACAACTACATTTTATTTCTATACAATGTAAAAAGCATCACCATCATATTACTGGTATGCTTTTGATAACTATTAAAAATGACATTCAAAAAATGAGGACCTAGGAGACAAAGCAGGGCTACTGACAATTTCTAGGCTTTCAGGCAGAGATGTGAAATCTGCAGAAAACCACCTACTGCAATTGTTCTAGGGATATACAAACAAAAGAAAAAAATCCACAAAGAATGCTAAGATAAAGAAGCCCACTTTTAAAGACTTTTATTTTTTTTTAGGTGAAGAAAGTAAGGTCAAGTGATTTAAAGTGATTTATAAGGCTGTGTGCTACAGTAATGAAAGATCACATTTACACAGTATACAATAGTTTATGAAGTGTTTTCCTCAAAATAAGGCTGTAAGGAGACTGAACTCCAAGTCCAAGCATGAATATATGAATGCTGTCACCTGAGAGAAATGACTACTAATAATCAATGATTTGAAATTACATTCCCCCCATCCCCTCATTAGAATGGGTCTACCTCTCACTGGTTCAGAGTTGATTGCCATCCACTCTTCCAAGGGCATATAAACTATGAGCCCACTACCATGATTGTCTTTGGCATTCAAGAGCATCACTGACTCATTTTATTGGTGATATGCTAGCACTATAAATAAAATGATTAATTACCCAGAAATCATGTCTCTCGAGCTTTTTTAAAAGTCACACACCTCTAGGAGATACTAGGAAACAAAGAAAAGAAGTATAGACTGCAAATACAAATACACATACAAAGAAATGTCCAGAAGAGATTTTAAGAATGACATTTGCAAGTAAAGGCTGCTACCAAATTTAGAAGTCTCACCAACAAATCTTTATTTCAAGAAATTCCTCATAGCACACTCATTATATCATGAGAACTACATAATCAAGACCTGGCTTCCAATTCCACTAAGAATGGGGAAGTTACACCATAACCATTTTAACAAAAATGTGTTACATCTAAATAGAACTTTCCAGCATTATCACATATATCACTGAACCCTCACAACATACTGAAGCCCTACGATAGAGGAAGAGCAAACGTAATCCCCCCCCCAACTCATCAACCCCTATTTTGGAGACAAGGAAAATGAAGCCCAAGAAACTTGAAGAGCCAGTAGTCCAACATAGTTATTACTTCAGCGTACAACAAAACAGATAAATGTGGGGGGATGGGTGGGGAGGTAGAGAGACTCAGGTGAGAGATGTGTGTAAGATGGTATGCATCCAATTTGATACATGCAGCCAGGATACATGGCATGTAAACATTAACACTACACTTTCACATTGCTGACACATCATTATATAACCACAGATAATGTAAACTTAGGAGTTTATTGTTGGCATGCTGCCTTCTTTGTCTGTTTCTCTATAAATCAAACAGACACTGGTCAGTAAATGAGGATGATGAAGGGCACACGCTCCTGTTCCTTGTCTTGGCTAGCCAACACCAAGAATAAAGAGAAAAGATAGACGCTTTCCTTCCTTGTCTCAACCTGCCACCTTGAGAATAAAGTAATATTAACCCTTTATCATGTCTCCACTGCCCCTTTCAGTTTAGCCAAATTCGATAATCTGCAGGGAGCTGAGCTCCTGTCTAAGAAGAGATAATGAGGATCTATCTATACCAGAATGGCAGCTATGTGGGTACAGAGAAGAGGATATATACTAGAGATGCTTTAAAGGTAAATGACAAGATCTGGCAATGGCTTTGTTATACTGGAAGAGTGAATGTGAGGAGTTAGGGAAGATGCCAATATTGTTGCCGTGGGGTGGACAGAGGAGATGGTGGCAGCTTTGAGAGTAATATTTTGAGATATTGAGGAAGAGAAGATAATTTGGAGAGAGAGATAATGAGTTCTGCTTTGGACATTTTGAGTTTGAGGTACCTGTGGGATGTCTAAAATGCCAATGATGATAGGTGACTTCAGCTCAGAGGTTCCCAAAATGGGTGATAAAGCCCCCTAAGGGGCACTAGAACGATCCACGGGGTGGGAGTAGCCTCACATACAACTGGGGGGCATTAAATAAAAATAAGGGGGCAGTGGAAGCATAAGGAAAGAAGAGAAGAAAAGAAAATTTTGAAAGAAATGTGAGGTAAAGTCATAGTGATTACATTATTTTCCAAATAAACACACAAAATGCAAGTTATAATCAATCAGTGGTCAAGTCTATCAACAGTTCTTAACAAGCAAGTGTTGGCAAGCAAGCATGTCACGCATTGTTGAGAAGTCCAACATACATCGACATATGTATAATGACTTGTTTACAATACTATACAGTTAGACATGCCATCAAAATTTCAATGCAGGGAAAAAACACAAATTTACAATAAATTTATTAAATTTAAGATGTATCTTTTTTTAATTTTATATTTTTTTGAAATGATGCAAATTTTAAAAAAACAAAGGATTAAAGAAAGTAGATTTCCAGAGAGATGCTGAGAAATTTTTTTTAAAGGGGACAATAGGCCAAATAAGTCTGGGAACCTCTGCCTTAGATCATACCACCTTAGGAAAACTGAAAATTTAGAGATCCCTAGAAGTATCTCTGAGAATAGCTTCAACAAAACACTTGAAGCTTGAGACACTGAGCTCTCCACCCTGGAAACAGAATCCTACCTTAACGAAGGGTGAAAGGTCAAGTAATAGACTAGGAAAATGACCAATAAAAGAAAAAAACTCTGACAATTGAAAGTTACTATGGTGACAAGGAAGATCAAAAACACACACTCAGAAGATAACAAAGTCAAAGCTCCTACTTCCAAAGACTCCAAGAAAAACAGGAATTGGTCCTGGGCCATAGAAGAGCTCAAGAATTTTTAAACTCAAGTAACAGAGGTAGAAGAAAAGTTGAGAAGAGAAATGAGAGTGATGCAAGAAAATCATGAAAAAAGAGTCAACAGCTTGGTAAAGGCAACACAAAAAAATACTGAAGAAAATAACACCTTAAAAAACAGACCAGGCCAAATGGTAAAAGAGATCCAAAAAGCCAATGAGGAGAAGAATGCCTTAAAAAGCAGAATGTCCAAACGGAAAAGGAAGTTCAAAAGCTCACTGAAGAAAATAATTTCTTCAAAATTAGAATGGAGTAAATGGAAGCTAATAACTTTATGAGAAATCAAGAAACAATAAAAGAAAACCAAAAGAATGAAAAAATAGAAGGCAATGTAAAATATCTTACTGGAAAAACAACTGACCTAGAAAATAGGTCTAGGAGATGTAATTCAAAAATTATTGGACGACCTGAAGCCATGATCAAAAAAAGAGCCTAGACATCATCTTTCAAGAGAAAAACTGCCCTGAGATTCTAGTACCAGAAGGTAAAATGGAAATTGAAATAATCCACTGATCACCTCCTGAGAGAGATACCAAAAGGAAAACTGCCAGGAATGTTACAGCCAAATTCCCATCAAGGAGAAAACATTGCAAGAGGCCAGAAAGAAACAATTCAAGTATCATAGAGCCACAGTCAGGATAACACATGATTTAGCAGCTTCTAATTTAAAGGAGTGGAGGGCTTGGAATATGATATTCCAGAGGGCAAAGGAGCTAGGATTACAACCAAAAATCACCTACCCACCAAAACTGAGTATAATCTTTCAGAGGAAAAAAATAGACATTCAATGAGATAGAAGACTTTTGAGCATTCCTGATGAAAAGACCAGAGCTGAACAGAAAATCTGACTTTCAAACACACGACTCAAGAGAAGCATAAAAAGGTAAACAGGAAAGGAAAATCATAAGGCATTTAATAAGTTTAAACTGTTTACATTCCTACATGGGAAGATGATGGGTTTAACTCATAAGACCTTTCTCATTATTACAGTAGTTAGGAGCATATATAGACAGATGGCATAGGTGTGAACTAAACATGAATGCATTATATCTAAAAAATAAAATTAAGGGGTGAGAGAGGAATGTACTGGAAGAAAGAGAAAGGAAGAGGGAGAATGGGGT